ACCTACATATGGGAACTGTCCAGACCAACACAGCCGCTAGAAATTACCATGATAAAGAACACAAAGAACAGTGCAAACCAGAGGCAAGCAGTACTGTGGGAAGAAATACCATGACATGTGGTTTTATGCCATTACACAAATTGAAACATGTAACTCTGTATTTCAGGACAGGAATATATCCAAAGACATACTGAAGCCATTGGAGTAGGTGTCTATAAGAATGGGAATGTAAGGGAGATGGAGAATAAAAGGAGAAATAGAAACAAAATGAAAAGAGAGGCCAAGCCAGAGACTGATGATGAATTAGGCAGTTGGTATAACTCTTAGGGCAAAGTTTTCTACAAATGACAATAAATAGATAGGTAGATAAAGAATGCCAAATGATTGTCTAAAGTCACAACAGTCATAAGGAAAATATTTCTTTGTCACAGAGAAAAGTACTTAGTAAACGGATATCGACCAAATACACTTTTACACCAGCATTATCCTAGGTGCTAGGTTTACCAAGGTAAGGAAGAAGCTGTCTCTATTTTTCAGACATGATGCTATTTCCTTAGGCCAGCCCTGCTGTCTAGACTACTGCTGAAATGGTGTTTTCTATGCTCTTGTTGCTGTTAATACAAGCATAACTGTTATCACAATATAATCTTATTTTCTTATCATAGTTTATCTATGAAATGTCCCCTGAAGGCTCATGCATTAAAAGCTTGGTTCCCAATGCAGTGTTCAGAAGTAGGGCAATTGGGAAGTGACTGGATCATGAGGGCTATGAACCACAGTAAATAGTGGATGTGGGGTGATAGTGATGTGTTAATTTAGGTCCATGAATTAGAATACATGTAGTATCACTCTGGGGGACAGGTGTTGATAAAGGGGAAACAAAGGGGACTAGGGGCAGAGAGTACATGGGAAGTCTCTATTCTCTCTTCTCAATTTTGCTAGTAAAGTAAAACTTCTCCTGAAAAAGTAAAGTCTATAAAAATGTTAATGCCTATACACTATGCCTGCCATTTACGACTAAGAATGGAAAGAATATCTATACACTTTTTGTGAATACAAAGCGGTGGCATGCTCTAACTTCCTGTATATTGACAGTCATTTTTTTTTTTTAGACTCTGCCTTCCCAGAGGAGACTTCATTTTATAAAGTAACTTTAGATTTCATTTTGAGGATAAAAGATGACTATGCACCTGGGTGAACACAGGAATGGTACCATGTCTCCAGCACCATCCATGTAACACAGACTAAAAACTTATTCTTGGGAGAAAGAATGTAATCCTATAAATTTTGAGAGGTGATTTGAGACAGTAGGGATGCATGGGCATATCAAAACCATATCACCAGACCAAGAAAAGGGTCTGGACCCCATAAAGAGACAGATACCTAGCACTTCCATAGTGACATCCCCCACCAACCTGTCATCTGACCTCAGTGTGTGTGTGTGTGTGTGTGTGTGTGTGTGTGTGTGCGTGTGTGCGTGTCAAGGATAGCAGGCAGGGGCTTCAGATTGACTTGGTCCTCACTGTTAACATGGTCTACTCAAATTGCCGTTTGTCCTATTACCCATCTGGACCTATCATTCAGCCAGCCACCGATTCCTCCTGCTGGACCCAGTCTTGCCCTTTGGCCGCTGCAGCTGGGTTCAACTCTATAGCTTCTCTTGCAAACCTCTGACCCCACAGTGACCTGACTCACCACTAACACAGTTCCCCAACTCTGTTTGGTTTGTTATCAATAGAGACTTGATCCCTATCAGATTCTCAGCTTTGGTTTCTCAGGCCTCTTTGAAACTCCTGTTTCTCCTTTAAAAAAAAAATATTGAATTTTTGTGTATCTCATACAGAAAATCATCTTTACATCCCCTTCTACCTTGGCACACTCCCATTACCGCCCCCCCACTGGAGTTCATACCTTCTGTCAATTGTGTTAAGGCCTATCATGTAAAGTTAGTGTCCCCAGACATCCCTCAGTGCAAGTTCATCCACTGGGATCTAGTTTACCTACAGTCCCTCCATTTAGGAAGATCAGCTCATTCTCACCCAGCAGTAATCAGTTGCCAATAATTCTTCGACTAAGATTGGGGTCTTCTGTTCACTTCCACAGTTCTGTGCTGGGTTTTTGTCTGCTTAATTTTGCATGGGTCTTGTGTATGCTGACACCATTGCTGTGGGTTCGTATGAGAAGAGTCCCACCCAGGAGCCTGTAGGACTTATTTCCCTATGGTCATGCACCTCCTTCCAGGCTCTTACAATCTTTCCACCCCCTCTTCTGCAATGATCCCTGAGCCCTGGGTGGGTGGTCCTTAATATAGGAGACCTGTCCAAGGACCACACTCTGATGACTCTCATTCTCTGTGTTTTGGCCATTTGTGGCCTGTTGTGCTCCTCTCTGTTGCATGAGGGAGCTTTGGTGATGAGAATTGAAGGATGCCTTAGTGTTCTCTTCATTCCTTGTTCTGTGTTCCATAAGTCTTAGGTGTAGAGGTTGTACCCTAGGTGTGTCACTTAGGCTTGGGCAATTTACAGACATTCTCTGTGTGTAGCCAGTTGTAGAACTCTGTAAGGTCGCATTCTAAATATAACAAGGTGTGTCACTTAGGCTTAGGCAATTCACAGATGATCTCTGTGTGTAACCAGTTGTAAAACTCTGTAACTATCTCTGTCTCTTGAAAAAGAAGCTTCTTTGATGGGTGGTGACTGGGATACCTGTTTATAAGGACTTGGTGCGAGGATCCACAAATGAGGGAGAACGTACATCTTTTGTTTTTCTGAGTTTATGTTACTTCACTTAGCATAACAGTTTCTAGATCCATCCATTTACCTGCAAATTGAAACTCCTGTGACTTTAATTCTTTGCAGGCATTCAGTAACCTACACAGGGAGGGAGAGGTAAGGATGGATGGACGGATGGATGGATGGATGGACAGACGGACGGACGGATGGACGGACGGACGGATGGATGGATGGATGGATGGATGGATGGATGGATGGACGGATGGATGGATGGACAGACTGATGGACGGATGGATGGATGGATGGACGGATGGATGGATGGACGGACTGATGGACGGATGGATGGATGGACGGACGGATGGATGGATGGATGGATTGCTAGGGCAGACAAACAGATAGTATGTAATGTGTAATGTATGATTTAAGAGTTAATAATAGTAATTAAGATTGAAATAAAAGAAGTTTCTTTTGTCTTGGCCAAAGTTTTCAAGGAAAGTAGGAGTATTTTGGTAAATCCCTACCACTGAAACTGCCATATCTTGTGAATTTATTGTCATTCAATAAATTCTAACAATGTAGAAAGACACAAATATGTTCATCTATGTTTCCGACAAAGTATGCTCATGACACTTTTCTACTTCTGCACACCATAGTTTCTAATGTGAACTATAAACTATGTCAGAAATTGTACCTTTCTAGAATCACGATCATACGTAAACTAATATGCATTCAACTCCAAACCATCCTCGGGGCCATAGGAAAAGAGAACAACTTCACATTTACAGTCCCTGTACCTGCTAGATATGTCTAAATAATGTGAGCATGGTGTTTTTGTTCCTTTGTTTTAAAGGTAGCTATCCTATGCCATTTGAATGTTCCCTATGCTTGGCATTGGAGGATTTTGACAAAATAATTTTCACTGATAAAGTTTATGTTTGATTCTCATAGACTACATTAGTGTATAAATTCAGTGAAAAAAACAATACTATATTAAAAAAAACAACAAAAGCTGGAAATTTTAAAGAACTAAAAAATATAATCATTCTTGGGTCAGTAGTCTTTTGTAATTGCATGTGTTAACAATCAGTTAAACACTGAAACTAGACTTTGTGAAGACCTACAATATACTTCAGCGTTCAAACACAAGTAAGAAACCAACATGAGACAAATGTTACGGTCCTCAGAAGATTTAAGTCTAAATAAATATAATCGATACCTTTTCCCAGTCAACTCCCACGTGAGCAGTTGATTTATCTTCCTCACCTTTAAGTACTGCATAGTAGTATTGACCCATTGTTTTACAATCTTCATGACTTATCTTAACCTCTAACTACCAACCACCCAAGATGCTCATAGCACCTCAACCATGATGCACTGTTCCCACTCAGTCACAATAGCAGGCTTTTGTTTGCTTTCAGATAACACAGAGTACCTGGAAAGAATTCTGCAAAGTGTTTACAGACCATGTGCATATAAATGAGCTGATTTCTAAGTAATAAGACACACAGAGGGTAGTTCCTGCAGGCCAGCTGCACTATTCATCTTGTTTCCCACACTCCACCGGTCCACCCCTGCACATTCCACACACCTATAAGTGATTGCCTGGCTGGTAGCCAGGATTACTTTCGAAACTGTGAAATCTGAAACAGGTGAAGGAATGGGGAAATAAGAACGGCAATCAAACGATACCTGGAAATCATCAAGGTGATAATGTAGTGAGAGCTCAGCTCAGACAGAAATGAAACAACGAAAATCAATCAAATAACAAAACACCTTTTCTTTGGAAAGCTAGTGGAATGCAATGTTTAAGAGCTGAGACCTTGGATTAGGCAGAATTGAAGCCTAACACCACCACTGAGAAGACAGTACTCTGATCAGGTTATTTTCCATCCCCATGTCTCTGCCTTGTTTATCTCAGTCTCATAAAACAAAGAGAGACAGAAAAAAAACCAACCTCTTACAGAGTTTGTGACAATTTAAATAAAACATCTCTTATACTCAGTACAGTGTCTGGTAGACAGTAAGGTGTGTGTGTGTGTGTGTGTGTGTGTGTGTGTGTGTGTGTGTAGGAGTTGCTGGTTTATTTATTACTATTCTAGAAGCCCAGTCAGTGGACAGTGGCATTAGTTAATGCTCTGATGATCCTTTCTATGAAATCAGTGGATTAACCAAACAGAATAGTTCCTTTTGTCCTTTTGGTTCCCCTATAAATCATTCAAGTGCGTCCAAAAGAAGTCCCGCATTTTCCACCTCCTTTGTGTCTCTTACCTTTGCTTTGACTATCAATTCCTCGTGCCTACGAATTATCTCCTCGTTGTCTGAAAGTGACGAACCTAGACTTTGTTCCTGCAAATCTCTTATCGCTTTCTGAAACCAACAAGTAACCTAGGAAAGATGTAAGAAAGAGGGGTCAAAGTTTAATTAATTATAAGAAAGAGGGGTCAAAGTTTAAATGATCAGGCTAAACGAGTGAAAACTCAGAAATAATTCCATAACCTTTAAAAACTTAAGCTATCTCCATTTCCCTTTAAAGGACTAATCCTGTATTAGGTCAGTATGATCCAGGTTTTTAGAAAATTTATTTTGTCCTAATTTCAACGTCTAATGCTTAAGAGAAAAAGACAAAGTAATCCCAGAAAACCATAAGAATTACTTTTAGCAGCTCAGTAGATTACATGGCATGAAGAAAATAACCCAAAATCTCATCAAAAAGAAGCAGAAAAGTATATACTCATGCAGCCAAATCTTGCATTCTTTTCAAATGTAGCTTATTTCCTGGACATAAAGATGCACATATCTGAATATAGATACAGGGACCTATATGAAGATATTAAATAGCATATGTGGAATTGTATTTTCTACTAGTAAAAAAAAAGAAAATACAAAAATATTTACGTTGTTTCCATTGGTGGTAATGAATATTCATAAAATATTTGAGAAGTTATTTAAATTCCATTGACATAAGTGGCTGAACATATGACTCAAATTCCTATATAGGTGATCTGCAATAAATGCCACACACAGGTCAAGACAATATCAGAGAACTTGAAAGCAGTAATACATTTCTAATTAATTAATTTGTAGGCTGCTAGAAATTGAACCCAGTTCCCATACATACTAAACAAGCACTCTGCCACTAAGCTTACCTCAGTCACTGAGGCCATACATTTTTAGTGACGCCATAACTTGATGTGAGACCTATGACTTAGGACTCCTGAACACAGATTTCTTACCTCAAATAACTGGACTACAGTTGGATTCTTCACTGTCCCTATTGCAGTATCTTCTAACTCACATCATAACTACTTGTTTTTATAACACTACAATATGCCAGACAATTTTCTAGTTGATTTGAGGGCATTGCCTCTATTTTTCTCAGTTAAGACTATAATAAGATCAATATAATCATTATAAAAGTAAAGAAAAAGTAAATGAGTTTTGGAGAGGTTAAGCAGCTTATCCAAGGCCATATGTTAAGTAACAGAAAGGATTTATCCCTACATTTACAGGATTCCAAAACCCATGTTCTGTCCTCTGTGCCTCACCACCATGCTTGGGTAACCTAATGTCTTTCAGCCCTAGGGATATGACATCAAACCTCAAAAATGAATAGTGACAACCCACTTAAAATGATGGGTATGGACCAAGCCTCACACTATGCTTTGCTGTAGCCTAGACTGTCTAGTTTTCAATAATTATGGGCTTTCTTCTAACATTTCAAGGAGGAATGTATGAAGCAGGAGACAGAGGAGAAAACTCTTAGGTCTAAAGTTATGCACTAAAAATGCATCTCATACATTGACATCTCATAGATGTCAGAGTTAGAGGCTCGCTAGAATAAGATGTCCCAGGACCATGATAGAACTGATGTTGCAAAGCTGATCTTGAGAGCAAAAGATCTGTACCATCTCAGCATTTTTCTAGCACAGAATAGATAATAAAATATGGGCAGCAGGGTTTCTCCATCTTTCTGCTAACTGGCAATCTTTGGTAACCAAAATTTTAGCCCTTATCAGTGCCAAGAAACACAGTGTCCCCATAGCAGTTTTTCATGTGAAAAATACTTCATCTTCAGAATATTTGGTAAACTATGCTTAGTATACATACATACAAAATATTAGTCTACTATAATTATGTATTTACAATTCCTTGAAGTCAATCTTTCTGATATCCCAATTAGAACTAGATTATATACACACTGTGCATTACCAGAACCCACAGAGGATTCAAAAGCAAGAAAATGTATTCATTAATTTATTTTATTATAAAATAATTTCTAACAAAAGTCACAGTGAGTCCATACAAAAACATGGCCAGAGGAAAGTAGATCAACAATACAGCTAGGATTTGGAAATTATTTCATTTATTAAGTACTGGGAGTGAGTTTTATCTATTCCTAGCTAAAGAAGGGTCTGGGGTAGAATCTCAAGAATGCTTTATTAAGGAGCAGCTAATCGGAAACTGAGTGAGTGAAACATGGGTAGAAACAGATGTTCGCTAATCTCCCAAAACAGGTGAGAAGCCTGAACCCTCAGAGGAGCCTATTAAATTCTGTGAGTCAAAAACTTGTTATCTAACACATGTCAGAGATGATGAAAGCCAGGAAGGAGGGTGCTGCTTTGATTTTTTTTTTTTTTTCCAGATGAAATCTCACCATGTGTCCCTGGCTGGCCTAGAACTTGCTGACCTGGAACTCACAAAAATCCACCTGTCTCTGCCTCCTGAGTGCTGGGATTAAAATTGTGTGCCACTACAACTGGCCTATTTTGATTTTTAATGGTATCGACTGACTGCATCTGATAGACTTGACTGACACTATTTCGGCCCCCAAAGCCACTACTGTGTCGGTTGTCAGTATATACTACATATATGCTAGAGCTACACATATTTTTCTGACCAAAAGCATCCTAAATAGAAATACAAAAACTAGTTGGTATAAAAGTAAAAAATAAGTAGATGATTGTGAGGGTGTTACATCTCATCATGAGGCATTCAGACATGTGAGCAGCCTCCTAGATCAGGTTTACCACATGTGCTGTGGGATGCACACAAAACAGGCTCAGAGTCCTTCTCAGGCTAAAATAAGACACCCTAAATAACCATGAGCATATCAGCCAACACTCTGGTACTCAGTAAATTATCCATTATGTACCACAAGTAGTAGCTGCAGACAGCTGCATAGATATTCCAAGTGCTCCTTTTATAAGCTTTTAAATTACAACAGTTGCTGTCCAAGAGCCTGAGTGAGAAGAACAGACGAAGACGCAGCAGGACAGTTCTACAGAGTAGAGCCCCTGAAAAGAGGTGTGTGGAAAGGAAAAAGGAAAAAAACCACTCAAGTATACACCGGAAAGTGGTTCTGAGTATCAGGATGCAGGGAGAAATGGAAACAGCTTTCCTCCCCCTTCTTAGTTCCTATTGTCTAACTTGACCCAAATGAGGCTTCTCCGTCTTTGGAGGGGACAGACTTAGACAGAGAAGGAGTGGGCCAGATCTTTTGAGTGGCCAAGAGAGACAGAAGCAGAAATCAGTAAAGATACGAAAGAGAATCAGGGATGTGTAATGAAAATTAAGAGCTGTCTTGAAAGTTAAAGAAGAGTACCAGAAAAATTCTGCCAAATATGTAGACTGGCATGCAGTGCAAGTCACTAACTATACACTAACTGCACACTGTACTTGGAATACAGCTAGTCTAAACTGAAATGTGCTGTGAGTATAAAGTACATGCCATAGATCATGGACTTTGGATGAAAAAATGCAAATATCTCATTAAGAATATTGATATTGGGACTGGAGAGATGGTTCAGTGTTAAGAGCACCAGCTGCTCTTGCAGAGGACCTGGTTTTGATTCCCAGCACCCACATGGTGGCTAACAACAGTCTGTAACTCCAGTTCCAAAGGAATTGAACACCCTCTTCCGGCTCCATGGACATTGCACAACACAGGTACACTTACATGCAAGCAGGCAATATACTCATACACATAAAAAAATAAATATTAAAAAAGAATATTGATACTTATCTATTGAAATTATAATGGCTATGTGACATTACATAGTATGATATTACTTATCCCTTTTATGTGGCTTTCTACTTTTAAATTATTTCTTTTTACTTTTTTAATGGTCACTGGAATATTTAAAAATCAAACATGTACACTGTATCATATTTTATTGGTTGGCTATGCTATTTAAGAAAGTTCAGAATACCCACACTTCTAAACGTAAATTTAAGGAATGGCTCAGTTTTAATTAAGGACAGTTTAAATAGCAGAGCCAGAACAGTGGTGTGGGATATCAGTTAGTAAGCACTTATGGACCACCAAGTGCAGAATGTGGAAAAAGAACTAACTAGCCTTTTACAGAAGGTGGCTGACTGAGTTCATCAGCTGCATATGGGAAGACAGCTTTAGGGAAGGCAGTAGACACAGAGGTGTCTTTTTCTTTTTCTTTTCCTAAACTCCTTGCTTTGAATAGAGGAGACATGGTTTTTATAGTATGGGGAACTAAATGGGCATGAGAATCAAGAAGGAGGGAGCCAGACTAAGAAGGAAGGCAGAAAAGCATTCTATTGAAAGTGTCTGATAGCTTGACAGGGAAAGGCTAATTCTAGCCACTCCTACTCAGAGAAAGGAATGAAGCAAGTAAGGGGAGTGGATGGTGACCCTCCAGGGGAAGTCAGTCTCCTGTAATAGAGATAGTTGTTCTTACAAGAAATGAGGAAACTGGGGGAGGAGACAGATTAAAAGTAGCTTGCCTAAATTCAGGCAACCAGTAAGAGGAAAGTGAGTTGGGGGCTTGAGGGGAGGGGATAATTCCATGGTCTGAATCAGGCTTTCAAGCCTGGTATTTATTTTTCCTTCTCATCAGGTCCATCTACCAAAAATATTTTTTAAAAAAGATTCTGGAGAAGCAGTTCTGATCAGTCTGTGTTTCCGAATATGTTTAAAATAAAAACCAAAGGCAAAGCTGGACCTATAGAACCCAATTCCAACATGGAAGCACCTGTGTACCATCAGGGGCACAATAGAAACTGCTTTAGAGGGGATTATGTTAGCATGGGTCAGGCTGTCAGGAGCCTATGAGGAAGAGACCAGCCATGGGCAGAGGGGACAGACTGACAATCCCACTTCCTGAGAAGCCCACTTCCAAAATGATTTGACTAAAACATAGTGAACACAAGTAAGAGAAAATGACCTGTGAAGATCAAAGATGAACAAGTCAGGAGGCAAAAAGGTGAAAGCTTCAACAGCCTGAAGCCCTTACCAGATTGAACTACCAGTTTCTTTTTCCTGTAATTTGTTCTACAAACTGAGAAAAGGCCTTAGATTTTTTTAATCTTTATTCAAAATTGTGCTGTAGGAGATGAGCCAGCAATAAGCAATG